TCCCTTCTGTTGACAGCTCAGACTTCTACCTGCCCTTTATATGTTTGTGTATATAAATATACATTTTTCCACATCTCTGAGATAACATTGTGTCCAGACTGTCTGTTTCCTGATTGTCTCTCATATTGTGGTCTCCTACTATTCAGTTGTATTTGTATCTGTTGGGATCACCTCTGAGGCAACAACACTGCTTAAAAAGTATATTGCATTTCTTTATGGAGTATTGAGTTATGATGAAGTATTTTATTTGAAGTATTTTATTTTTGTTGTCTTTGTGTCTGTTAAAATTCTAGTCCTTAAGATATGGTCATTGATCCTATTGTGTGTGTCTGTGCATGTGCTGTGTTTTGAAGTGAAGTAAGGAGTTAGTTGCAGGAGATTCTATGTAATGAAAGATAAGCGACAGGAAGAAAAGACAAGTTTAATATCTGGAAATGCTTCTAAATCCCAATCTCTTAGACTTCAGATGTAACAAAGAAGAACATGTTGAAAGAGTTATTAAAGAATACCTCAACTTCTGTCTTGTTACTAAATTTGGAAAAGAACAGACCTACATTGCAGCTGGGGAAGAAAATGGTATTTCCAAAAAACGCATCTACTTTAAAAAAGTCGTCACAACACTGAGCAGTTCTTCGTATGCAGAACGTAAAAGAGCAATGATTTAAGAGTACGATGGATATTATCCAGGATAGCTTTACATTGTCCTGGTCAGGTATTTAGTGAACTAGTATTAGGCAGCTGCATAAATCCAGCCAAGCACTGACCTACTGGGGTTGGACTGCTGCTGCTGTCTTGCCGAGAAGCCACCTAGGTATTTCTGCACTATTTCTCTGGCATCAGCACTGGCGTAACCTTTGCTTCAAGCCACATTATCTAGCTTATTTAGCTTCTCTTTTCACATGCTTCCATGTATGTCTGTGTTTTTCTCATCATTCTTCCAATGAACCCAACAGCATGGTCCAAGCTCATGCTGTTTGCTGCGCTTGGTGGTCCCAAGCAGGTCAAGCCCTGAGCTCTGATTCCCTCCTCTCAGCTGCAGGCGAGTTACAGAAATCAGCTTTCTCTATAAAGAATGAGGCTGCTCCAGAGATTGGTTTGGTCTGCCTAGGCTCTGCTGAAGCAAATGCACTCCTAATTTAGACAATTTAGACGCTGTAGGATTGCACTTCTCTCCCTCACACGGAATATATAGTGCCCTCAGAAAAGAAGATTACTTTTTTTTTTTTTAAGCATATGTAACTCCATTACTGGTTAAGGACTGCAGATGCATTTAGTTTAAAGTACAAAAATGGTGCCAGTGAGAACAATAGCTGGTCCCATGGCATCTAAAGAGATTAAAATAACTCTCTTGAAAAACTCAAGAGTGCCCCATAAGGATGAACACTCTGCGCAGATAGACGGGTCATAAGCTCATTGCATTTTTGAGTGTATTAGCCATCACATGGTTGAGCTGGGATTCGCAAGGAAGGAAACATGTCGTGCTGAAGCATGTCAATGCTGATCTTTATCACTGATTTGAATATCCATGCTTGCAAGTATTTCAAAAGTTGGAAAGTTTAAAGATAAACGGACATTTTTCATAAACCGTCCATTAACTCTCCAACTACTTCCTTTAAGCACCTGATAACAGCTGTGAGAAAATTGTCTCATAAAACTCCTTAGGACCTTCGTACCCAGTGGATTTCTGTAGGAGTTTGTCTGACCAAGGGCAGAGAAGGGAAGTGGATTTTATTGAAGAAAGCTCTCAGAAGAAAGATATCTGTAATATTTGCTATGTAGATAAGGTAAAAGTATTGCTGCATAGTTATTTACCTTTTGTCTTAGAGAGCTGGGCTACTCTCAGATTTCAAAATACTTCACGCTCAGTAGTTTAATATAGGGTGGCAAAATAAGTAGATTCAAGCCATGCTCTCATCTTATAATGGGCTATGCCAGGCGTCTGGATATGAACAGATTTAGGCTGGGACCTGAAAAAGCAGCACAGTGCTCAAAGGCAAGGAGAAGCAGCAGCATGCTGCACCCCTGAAGAACATTGCAGTGTGAACGCTGAAGTGCTCTTCCTTAAAGATAAATTTCATTATTTCTTGCCAGTTACAGGGTGGTTCAGGAATGCTCAGAACAAAGCCAAAAAGGGATAATCTATTCTTTTTTAAATTACTAGAACATTTTTGAAATTTAAGCTCTACCGAAGTGTTGCCTACAGTTAGCACAGCCAGCACTACCCTGATTTTTTGTTTCTCGTATTTTAAGTTACTGGCAAAATCTAAAAATGGCTATACTAGGAAATGCATTTCCTTTGATGTTTGGCTTCAAGAAAGGCATTGACTTCCTTTCAGCATTTATACAGAAGCAGGAGACTGCTTACCCTAATTTAACTTTCTGCTCAGCTGCCTTTATCTCCTAAGTAAATAAAGCTGTCCGCTATAGAGGCTGTGACCACTTTGATATTGAAATTTTTGACAAAATGCTTCCTGTGGCAATTTGTGTCGAAGATAAACTCCCCACACGACCATGACATCATGCCTTGGCAATGCTGGGCGGGCTGCAGGCAGCAGGACCCCCTGCCCGCTGCGGCTCCGGGAGCTGCGGCGCGGTCCGCCTGCCCTCTGCCGTCGCTGGAAGACCCCCGAACAGGGCGACGGGGTCTCCGCCACGCTCCACACCATTGACGGTGCAAAACCTACAGCTCTTTTACTCTTAACTTCTCCCAGCAGTATTACAGAGCAAGTGGTAATAACGGGAATTAAACAAAGGCACGGCTTCGAATCTATTTCAATTTTGAAGCTGAAAAAAAAAAAAAAGAGAGACAGAAAAAACCATGCAGCCCCAGCACAAAGCGGGGTTTGAAAACCGAGGGAGCTTTTGCTCTGTCTTCCTTAGATGTTAAAAAATTGGACTTGTTTATCTGCAGCTGTCCCCAGATAACAAATCCAGTTTTCTTCCAGACTCTTAGGGTTTCACCCAGGAAATTATCCATTGATAAAGATATCATCAAGGACTTTCTTTAAAGTCTGTTCTGTATTCTGAAGCAGAGTTTTCATAACGGCATCCCAGTAATCACAGAAGGCATTTGAACAAGGTTTTCAGTGAATTAGGAGGAAAAATTAATTCTAGCTGATTTATTTAGCTATAACCATTGCAGTATCAGAGCAACTCGTAGCACTCATTTGGAAATTCTGGTGGGATACAAAGGAGTCATCCTTATTTCATTGATGGTGAATAAATGTCCTTTAGGTCAGATTTTTAGAGAAATGTCATTCTTTAAAGATGCAGATTGACATTTAGTCTGATCTATTGCAGAACCTAGGACTCTAACTGTTATCCAAGGCTACACCAAGTTATTTTTGATAGATCTGGATATTTTACTAACTAATTTGCCAAAGGTTCAAAGTAAAGCTCTGGATCAGCAAAGCAAGATTCTAGCAGTCTGAGTCACTTCTTAGCTACAAGAACTGTTTGTCCGTTTGCAGAGCTTTATGTCTCACCTCTTTCCAATCCAGATCTGAATATGGCCCTGAGCTCCTGAATTCTTTATGTTGCTTTTGTTTTGTTTTGTTTTGTTTTTTTTTTAAAAAAAAACCAAATTCCCTTACAAGACCTCAGATTCTCCTTTGGTCTTTTTCATCTTTTTCTCTCTCTTTTGCTTTTTCTCCCTTTCTTCAGTGAAATCCCTTCCTTTATTTCTTCTGCTAATCCAGTGCACAAGCTGATTGAGATGTGGTGCCCATCCTATGGGGACTTGGCTTAGCCACAGAGAAATAACTGTGCCAAAAAGCCTCTCCTTGTCCTCCCGTCTGGTTAGTTTTGCTGCTTTAATAGTGTGTTCATAAAACATGGGGATTGCACAGGTTTCCCTTGTTATTTCTAGACTTATCTTCCTCTTACACCTGATCTTTTGTGGGATAGACTGCATTCTTTGCTTCTCCAATTCCTCTCTCCTTTGATCTCCCTACTGTAAATGGGGCTGCTTAATTAAGTGAAATGTTTCACTTTGAGTTTATTTTCCTAAGAAAGCCTCCTCCGCCTCCTCTTAATTGCCAACCTGTTTTCTCCAACATGAATCACCCTTCAATTCATAGCAGTCTTTCGAAATACTACAAACCCAGTCACCTTTCAGTGAGGTCAGCAGAGAATTGCAAAGTTCCACCTGCAAAGTCAAGTTCACTCACCTACCTGGTCTCAGCCCAGTTAGCCTCAGATTAATGCTCTCTTCTGTCAACCTTTTCTATCAACAACACAGGTGTGTTAAATGGAAAAACAAGACAAAATGCTGAAGAAAAACACTAGAACAGGACAGAAATCTGGCACAACCAGTGGGATGCAAACTATATCTTAAAAAAAATTGGGACTTCAATTTATTTGTACTGATTTTTTTGTTTGTTTTGTTTGTGCTTCTTTATGGTAAGGGTGAACTGAGGTTGATTTAATTTAAAATTTGTGCTGTTTGTTTGTGTCCTTCAAAACTCTCCCCTGCCTTCTTCCAGGCTTGCTCTGAGTAGCTGCAAGGTTAGCAGTGTTTAGGTTTTCTTTTTTTCTGAAAAAAAAAAACCCAAACCTAACTCTGTCCCTTCTGAAACCAGGAAAGTATGTCTCCCTGCTTAGTGTTCAACCCCTATGACACAACTCATCCATCCTGCAGGGAAGCACTAAGGCTTTTGGCAGGCATATCCAAATGCAAAATGTACTGTACAGCTCTGATCAGACTACAGAGAAGAAGTCACATGGTATTTAGGCTGCTCAGGAACCCAGGTTTCATCTTCAGAATAACTTATGGTTGAATCTCTAATGATACATAAGTACCTAACCCCTGAGGGTATCTCTTAGCTGTCATCTCATCCACAGAAGATCATAAACCTCTAAGTACTCCATTTTCTAAAGTGTTTGTGGGCATCCTGGAAGCTCACACCAGTCTGCAATGTTACATTTTAACCCCTCTGGATCCAGGCTTTGCATTTCTCTATAAACTTATTATATAAATAAGGTTCAGTTGGTGGGTGGGGAGGGGCATTTAGCACAAGAGTGACTAGTCAAAGGTAAATCTTCTGACTCTGCTTTTTGCTTGATGGATCAGTGATAAGGGAACTTATTTAGAGCTTGGAAGACTTTACATTATAGGCAAGATCTGAGGCAAGGTCTGGTGCTCCAGTTCCTACTGCACTTAATATAAAATAGAGAGCTTTTCAGAGGAAAACAGACTTTCTCCCTTCCTAGATAACATCTGAGCAACATTCTTGCTACTTTTGGCTAAGCTGAGAGGTAATTATCCCTGGAAAAGTGAAACACCTTCAACAGGAAGGAGTGAGGAACTCCCAGGATGGCTCTGGTCCATGCACCTGAAATGGAGGGACACCTCCCCCAGGAGGGAAGCCCAGACTAAGACATCTAATTCTTTGATATGGAAATATTTCACTCTGTAATGTTTCACACTGACTACTTCAGATGCTCCCAAGAGAGTGACTTGCTGGTGTGGTGCTTAGTTCTCCTTGTGAAATGTATAAAAATTCCAGCCTGGGCATTGCAAAATCCACCAGGCAGATGTCTGCTGCACTCAATATTATCAAGTCCCTGTTGTGTATCTAGCCTATGGGGTTTTGAGTCTCATTGTTAAGTGGGTCTAAAGCTCAATGTGACAAGCCATTTTTAAACTATGATTTTCAACACACTT